TGATTCACTCTCACGGTTAGCGCGATATCTCGGGCTTAGATTAGCGTCGGATTTAAACCCCAGTGAGTCTTGAGTTTGGAACACTCCGTAAACAACTGTACTACTCCCATCCTCGGTTGTTTCCTACCGCCTCATTCTACATACAGGCGCTTGTAGAGAGAGACGAGGCTTAGCGTTGAATGAGGCTCATGGAGATGTCAGTGAAACAACAATACTCACTGCCGCCATCCAGGTGACGAGACGCGTCAGGATTCATCCCGCGTAAAGTGCTTTCTCAACAGCTTCCTTGGCGCAATGTGGACCTTGGAATGTGATAGCAACATTCTAGACAGTGAGTGTGAGCAACAGTACTGCTGTGAGGGCCCAAGCTAACAAGCCTCCGCAAGGCAAAAGGATATGGCTACGCCCGGGGAAGAAATATTTGTTCGGGAGAACGCTGGACCTGTCTAGGGGAAGGAACAGTATGCAGGCCCATATGCAATTTCATCGACCAGCGCTCACATCTCATAGAAAGCTTCCAGCTTAAGGATGAAAAGTCCGTCTCTCGGCAGCACCTTACCTTGACTGTATCCGCCGTCAAGCCAGGCGATGGAGTGAGTTCCACTCATCAGACTACTAGGCTTTCTCTCTGACTGCCGTAGTCGCTTGTACATACTCGATCAGAGATCGCACTTAAAGATGAGGCCACGAAGTTTGGTACAGAGGTTGACGGCGTCCGCATCAAGGAAAACGAGCGAGTGTTAAAGGACAGTGAACACACGTTTCGATTGGGGAAGTCTAACCATATTTTTCGGTAAGCCTAGCGGTCCTGCTAACGACGGGGATAGGTACTGACAAGCGAGTAGTATCAAATGGCAACCAGTTGTTTTCACTTTCTCACTGAGCTCAAAAGAGATGAAGACTGGCAAGGATCCATTACTTAATTACCGAAACAGACTTGAGGATCTCGATATTAAAGTCGTCATACCCTACATCGTCGGCGTGACCACACATGTTGTCAGTACCAAACGAAATACTGCCAAAGGCCTCCAGGCTCTCATCAATGGCAAATACATTGTGACGGAAACCTACATTGATGCTCTGGTCTACGCAACAACCCCAGAGAACCTCGATGAGCTGGAGAGTCTTTCCCCGCTCGAGGAGGACTTCGACGCCCATTGGCCAAATGCTTCAGAGCATCTGCCGGCGAAAAGCAAGGAACCCAGCGAAAGACCATCCGAAGACTTTGTACCAAATTCGCATCGTGACAATGTTTTCGAAGGCTATACCTTTGTATTCTTGGACGCAACTCAGTTCGAGACACTACAAGCCCCGATTACGAACGGTGGCGGGAAAGCTCTGTCGTTCATTCCCAATCCCGGAAAGACTACGGCTGAGGAAATTGTGCGCTATGTAAAGGGTGTGGCTGGAGAAAAGGGTCTGGGAGAGTTCGAAGATGGAAGCGAGGGTAAGGGTGTAGTGGTCATCAGGTTCAGGTTGAAGGAGAAGTTCGCAGATTGGGCAGCCCAGATGGATACTACAATATCTCTAGCTCTCGGCCAACGGCTGATCGAACAAAGCGAGTTCATCGAGGCCATATTGCTGAATGATGCCAGCATCCTGAGAAGGCCATTGGAGGTGGACTATGAGGAGTCGGCGCCGAGGACCAACGGAATGATTGCACCAGCAGCATTAGCAGAAGATGTCATGCAAGTGGAAACACTTGCTCAGCCAGAGGTCTCCAAGCCCGCACCAAGGCGAGCTCGTGTTCGAGGAAATGTTGTGAGCCGCTTCAAAGGATTTGGCGCTGACGATGACGACGAGTCTTCAATGCCAACATCTTCTCGACCTGCTCCTGTTGACTCACAGATGGAGTATGCACCGCTGAGTGGAAGGTCACAACGTTATTCCAATGGTGCGTCTTTGGCGGATTCTCCCGTGGAGATTGACTCTCAAAACCAAGAGAATGGCGAGGATGAGGCCACAAAATCCCGAAAACGACCAGCGTCAACTCTAGAAGAAGTTGACGAAGATGAGATGATGGACAGTCTTTTGCCAGCTGCTACGGCCATGAAAAAACGAAGGATTGAAGAGGCTGAATCTTTTCAGCGCGACGGAGTTCCAAGAGAGCAATCGTTCGAGACATCCCAGAAGAAGGCTAAAAAGGAGAACACGCGGCAACCGCCTAAAGAGGTCAACATCAAAGAGGCACTGCGTGAGCGACGAGAAAGAGAAGAAAAAGAAGAGGCAGCCAGACGAGATGAAGAGAACCCTCGAGAAACCATAGATGGTATGAGCATTGATGAGATGAAGAAACTTGCAATTGTCGAGCCTATGGACGTCCTTGATCGCTCAAAACGAACACAGCGAAGAGAACATGATAATCCCGCAGACAGCCGATGGGATGAGCGTTGGAATGGCAGAAAGAACTTCAAGAAATTCCGGCGGCGAGGGGAAGGTACTCAAGCGAGGCGTGGCCAGAGTGTCATTGTGCCCTTGGAAGAAGTCAAGAGGAAGGACTTTGGGATTGGACAAGGGTACTGGGTGGAGAGCGAGAAGACAAAGAAGAGGCGCAAGGAGAATGAGCGCACGACGCAATCGCAGTCACAGAGCCAACCATTTGCTACAGCGAAGAGCGAGGCCGTCGAAGGACCCTCCGAGCTTGTTGTTGATGGAGATATACCTGTGTCCAGTGAGGAGGATGCTCCGAGGATCACATTGCACCAGGAAAGAACTCAACAAACGGATGAAAGCAGCAACAGATCTCAAGTTGTGAATGGGAAGCGACCGGCTGCTAGCCAGGCCAACGGCGGTCCAGCCAAGAAGCAGAAGACGTTTGCCGTGCAGGACTCGGACAGTGACAGCGAAGACGAGCTGAAGTTCAGGTTCAAGAAGAAGGGGAGATAGATGGCAGGCCTTTGAGCTAATTTTGGCACATATTTGCGTCAGCTTGCGCTGTTCACATGGCTTGTACATCCTCAAGGTATCGCTCTTGTCCAACCAAGTTGCTGTAATATATCACGTGAATATACAAGCAAAGCAATATACAAGATTCCTCAACTCCGCGCTCTTTCCTTGCCATCTTCGCACTTTTAGTCTTCCATCGCCATCTCTTCCATTGCTTCTACCGCTCTCTCCAATTCTCTTACTCTTGACCCAATTCTATTCTTTATCTGTTCTCCATCAGCCGAGTTGATGGCCTTCTCGTAAGCCTCTTTGAATTTTGCCAATTCCTCTTGGGCGGCTGCCCTGTCGTCGGCTGCGTAAACGGTCTTCTTTTCGGTTTCTTCGGAGGCTATCTCGAATTCGTCTTTTGCTGTTGCATAGCTGTGGCTGTTGTCAGTAGTCGAACAGGACAAATGGCTAGGACAGAGACCGACAGTTCTTGTAATTCTTCCACTTGCTCGTCTGCGGAGGTTTTGGCAGCGAAAGTGCGGCGAAGATGTGGTTGGGTGATGGAGGGGAGCACTCGAGGTTGGCGACAGAGGTGGATGGGCGTGGCGTTGGAACGTGTAGGTGCAGAGATGAGTGTCCGCGGACAGCGAGCCAGGACTCGGGTGATCATAACAGCGGAAATATAGATAGAGAAGAAGCTCATTGCACCCACGAATTGGAGTCGGGAAATAATTCACACCAGCTACCCGGAGATCCAGACTTCGGTGGCGGCTCGCGTGCTGTGATTCGAATATCTTTTCAATATGAATCTATTAAATCTTATAGAGATTGAGACGAGATAGTTTTGATATGGTGCTATTTGGACTCGGGATACTGCTTGTCTCTGTTTCGGTGATCATATACAGGTATCAGTCAACCCGGCACTCGGCATGGACTGGAAAACAAGACCCAGGGAAGAGCGGCGCAGGATCGCCAATCGCAGAACTAGAAGACGACGACGATGGAGCCAAAACCAGACCCGAAATCCCTACATTCACGCTCGATGAGGAAGGAAGTAATAAAGATGCTGCGCCTGGCGACATTCAGAAGGACATACAAGCCACGAAGTCGAAGCCATCATCTCGTCTGGGCACGTCTCCTCCACCACCACCATCCTCCATAATGCCACCGCCCCCTCGACCGAGCCCAAACGCCAAGCGAAAACCGGAACCTTCCCTCATGCCACCTCCGCCAATCCCCGCACCCACCCCCCGAGCTCCTCCTACGCTCTCAACAACCCTCCGACCACCCCCTTCGACAGCTTCTACCCTCCGCGCTCCACCCTCCCGTTCTCTTGCACCACCAACCTCTTCCCTGTCGACCTCCACCCTCTCCCCCTCCGCGCGCCCCTCCAAGAAAGTCCTCCTCGACCCCGGCCACTCCCCCCTCGACTGGGCGCACCTGACCGCCAATCCTCCCACCCCTACGTTCCTCCGCGGCGCCGACGTACCGCCGCAGCTCATACGGGTACCGCCTTCGGCGCTGAAATGGCATCATGGGCGCAAAGGGAGGGATGCGTGGGGGGTGTGGCAGGGTAAGGTATATAATCTGACGCCGTATATGAAATTTCATCCGGGAGGGGTGGGGGAGTTGATGAGGGGGGCGGGGAAGGTGGCGCAGGGGGAGAAGCTGTTTAATGAGAAGCATCCGTGGGTGAGTTGGGAGAATATGTTGGGGGAGTGTTTGGTGGGGATATTGGTGTCTGAGAATGAGGTGGGAAAGGGGGAGGGGAATGACCTGGAGGAGATGGATTAGGAGTGGACCATAAATGGTGCATGCAATGGCGTTCCATTTATAGCATAGATGTGTGCTTTTTCGAGATACCCATGACTTTTACAATGAACGGCCTTCAGTCCAATACGGGTCCAAAATGGAAATTCTCTCCAGCGCCTTTCTTCACCCCCCCCACCCCCACCCTTCCTCCGAGAAAAAAGTTATTCCGTTGCTCGCAGGTTCGCTACCCGAATCACTCCTGCCACAGCAGTCATGGGACTGGCGATGTGATCATTCGATTCAATGCCAATACATTGGCGAAAAGAACCATGCCAGCCTTTCGCAGACCAATTGGAGCGGCGCATATCTCCAAAACATTGACAAGCTCAGCATCAAAGAGTGGATCTCTCGGCTCTCGAATGCTCTGCTCAAGCTGTTGTCGCACAAGAATATTCAATCTTCCTAGCTTGCTACCTTTTGTCTGTTAAACAACAGATAGTCTGCCAATCTCTAGAATCCCTGCCTGGTGGTGCCTCAAGCGAATCGTACCCTTTTCTCTTCACCCTTTCTTACACTCGGCCCTTCTCTTCCCCCCGCTGGTTCAAGCTGTGCATTGCTAGTGGCGGATCGAGCCAGCTCCAAGCTCGGCGAAGAGTACAGCCATCAATCCTCAGATTTCCCAAAGCTCATAGGCAACACCGGGGAGGCTTCGAGCCCCAAGGTCAGCGGCAACAGCCTCCTAGGGCTACCTACCTGTACCAAAACTCCACCTCTCTGTCGAAGTCGTCGGGACTGAGGGAAGTGATTCCTTCAGGCACAGCGCGGCCCCTCGCTTCGCGAACACCAATCCATGTCTGTCTCGCGGCTGCCTTGATAGCGTTGCCCATGATCTTACTTCCCTGGGCTTCAAAGACAACAGATTGCCAACCCAGCGTTCGGGCGAGATGAGCTTGCGCGGAGAGACTCTGCTGCGACTGGAAATGGTCGAGGCTTTGCTGAAGGAGAGCACTGGTAGTGCACGTTTTTTAGTAGGGATGAAGCTGACGGAGCGGAGGTTGGGTTGTCTTACTGGGCTTCTTGGTAGTCTTTCGTCCTCATTTGGTGCTCAGCGAGCTTGAGGTCGAGGACTGCTTTACAGTTAGCGCTTTCGGACAACTTTCCTTCCTCCGGCAGTTTCTTCACATTTTCGCTGGCCTTTTTGTAACAATTGAGGCTTTCGTCTGGTTCTTCGAGAGCGTTATAGATGCCGCCCATCACAAAATGGAGTCGAACTAATCTGTTGGCGGCCCACCGTTTAGCTCTCATCCTGCAAATTGGTTGATGTTTACTCACTCGAGCGAAGAGTTGCAATCGACGTTGGGAAGTTTTCTTTGCATTGCCAATGAAGCTTCCGCGATCCCAAGTGCCATGGCCGGTAAATTCTGCATCTGATAGACTAGAGCAATGTTTGCAGAGGCTACTGCATGGATTTTCCATGACCTTGGGGTCAGCAGCTGGAAAGCACTGACGAGCTCTCTTGCCTTTATGAAGAAGGCTAGTGCTTCGAAAATCTTGCCGGCCTCAGTATGGTGGACTCCTTGGTCAATCCCACGGCTTGCTTCATCAAATCGTGTGTCAGTAGTTTCTGCTTCCAATTGGACAGTTTCAGCATCATGTAGACGCGAGTCCGGGTTGCCATCATGAGGTACGTCTGATTCATTGGTTTGAGTCGCCGCTCCAATGGCGTTTACTGCTTTCTCAAGCTGCGCAGCGAATGATAACCACACTTCTTTCGAGACTGTTTCTGAGACGCTCCAGCGTCGACTAAAAGTGTTTGGTGTAAAGAGACGGCCTGAACACGATTTCGCGACCATTGGCCGTGACCAGTCCAAGAAGATCAAAAACGATTGCTCGAGGATAGAACTATTGAAGCAAGCGTCAACCGTCTCATCACTCGTACTGACTGGAGCAATAGTGAGAATGGCTGAGCGATAGATGTCTGATACTCTCGACATCGCATTCAGCAAGTCCTCTTGGTCACCTTGGACAACACACAGCGAATGGATCCAGATGTACCGCACGCCCAGGCGCCTAGTAAGTTCAATCGCATCAAATACGGATCTTCGTATTTCGGAAGGTTCGATACTTTGCCGAAGTCTGCTCATATTTGAAATCGTCAACTGCGTCTCCGAAGAGCCCCGAGAGCCCCAACAATAGCTGAGAGCTACATAACAACCAGTCTGGCCAGCAGTGTCAACAAGGCGTGGAGATTGCGTATTATCTAGACCAACGTCGATGAGTCTTGCGGGTAATTTTGTAGTAGAAGTTTCCATTTGAAGTAAGCTCGGATCGGGCCTCTGCGATCTAGCAATCAATCCATGAGCAAGCCGTATCAGTACCTGATCTTCCTCGGCATTGCCCCGGTGCGCATTGTACCTGTACGAGAATAAGCCGCCCGGCTCTTCTGGGATCAATAAGGATTTACCAAGTTGTGAGAACAAGTATCTTGAGATACGAATCATTTGAGAGTTCCTGGCTCAGCGTGCCCTTTTCCCGCTTCTGATCATACTCCACAAAGATGCTAGAGAGTTTGTGGACATGACGATGAAGAGTATCAAATTCTGGCCAATTCCCAAGCACGATGTTCTTCATCTTCCTCCTAGATGGCCATCTTGCCTCAAGAAGCCGGCTCGCACAATGAAACCCTCCCCTAAAATTGCCCGGATCAAGCTTGGCTCGGAATGATGTGGCGGTCACGCGGTGTATATCAAGTCCACTGGGATCCGCCTCGGCAGCTAATAGAGCATGCGCAATTAGCTCATTCTTGGCATCGAAGTAGTCATGATCATTCATTGGGAACGCATTCAATGGGACGTCTTGGAAGCGTTGAGCGCCGAGCAGGATTGCGTCGTCAACACAGTATGAATCGAGAAAAGTGATGACGTTTGCGAGAGCATATGAAGCCGATGACAGGTTGGCACATATGAGAGGGCTAGAAGGCTGAGAAGCGAGCACGCGACTCGAGTGTTGTTCCAGTATAGCCATGATTTGGTTGTCTTTGGATGAGCTCCGGCGATTGAGAATAGTACCCACCCCGCGTAGGGTTAGCGGCAGACAGCGACAATCCTCTGCAATTGTCGCCAACATTGCAAGGTCTGCTGCAGGGTTTGCTGCATCAACTGCACGAGGTGCCAGCGAACGAATAAATTTCGTGGCATCCTCGACAGTAAAGGGACCAACCTCAAAAGCGTGCAAGCACTCATGTGCCTCAATGTCTAGTCCTTCTCGAAACGGTTGCCTGCTCGTCAATATGATAGAGCCACGACGGCGATTCGGCATGAAGCGTGATAGAAGCTGAAGCTCATCCGCGTCATCGAAGACAAGGAGCCACCTTGAGCTTGTGGTAGAAAGCCAGGCTACTAGCTTTTTCCTGCTATTCTCATGATAATGATCTCTGCGATCTTGGACCAGACCAAGACTTACTGCAGCTTCGTGAAATGACTGAGCAAGATGAAGGTTACTGTTGGCACGAAGCCACAAAACATGATCGAATCTAGCTTGAATTCGACATGTCAATTCCAACGCAATGGCACTTTTCCCAACTCCGGGAGCGCCATGTAAGACGATGACGGCACCGGAGTCTGGGCTTGCTATATAGCCACTGGGCAGCACAGGTATAGGCAAGAAAATACCTTCCAATGGGATCAAAAGTTCTTGGCGGCCAAAAAATCTTGCATCTCTACTCGGAACTCGCATGGAGAAGATCCGAGATCGGCGTTCCACGCGTGGCGATTCCAGAACCGATAAAACCTCTGGAGAGTTCTGCTGCGTTACGTTTGTGACCGAACCTTCATGTCTAGCTTGTTCAATCTTGATCGCCTCCTGGGATTTGATTCCAGTATCATAGTATGGTATATTCTTAGGCTTATTGCTGGCTTCTGCAGCGAGAAGATCAGGTGGCTTTCTTCTCGGGTCAGGATGCTGAACGCCATGACCCGTGAAACTAGCCTCGTTTGTAATGCCGCTGGCTGATATATTATCGGAGCCACTGGCCGATTCTACCATCGGAACTGGAGTTGCGTCTGTTGAGGGTATTGGATGCATGGTCAGGAGAGTTGCTTGAGGTGAGGCTGGTCCACTGCTAGTCATGTCCGTTGCAGTTTCATCCGTGGGCAGGCAAGTGCTTGGCCCGGCACGGACCTGAGCCTCAATCACTGGTAGTTGTGCAGGAGTACCAGAAATTGAAAGCTGGGCGCCAAAACTAGGTATTGAAAGGAGCCGGTTGTAGATTGTACTTCTCGGGTAGAAAGCACAGTTCTTCTTGTCTCCTTCTCCGGGTGGAATTGTAATCTCTTCGTCTGTAGTCGTCCACATCCTGACACTCATGGTTGCGGAACATATGCACCGAGGGTCTTCAGCGCGGAATTTCAAAACATGCTTCCTTTTGGACTCGGCTGCGCATGAGACTTGAAATAGGGTAGAATGAAGAGTAAATTCTTCGAAGCGGGCGGCAATATGCTGGAGGCATCTGGCATCCTGAGGGCAGTTGAGATGTTTTGGCAGTGTCTTGCAAGGCAAACACTTTGAGATCAAGGGGATCCATTCATTTTGATTATCGAGATTAAGATCTGGATCTCCAAGCATAACGAGAGTCTCGATGGTGTTGAGCAAAGCTTCCATATGTTGATGGTGTGAGCTTCGATATGCTTCGAGAAGAGCCTTGAGTCATCAGCAAAGTTGAGCAATTCGGCATAGTCAGGCACACCTTCTTGAGCACGAAACTACCCAACTTATGGCCTATTAGTATCAGGGTGTCATCATCTGACTAGGCGTGCCGTCAGTGCAAGCAAAATTAGAAAAGCAGAATTTCATCTTCACCAGGCCATCATCCTGTTGCATAGCCGTAAGTGCCTGTAACAAACGTTCTCCAGCTTCACAATACGCAAACCACGAAGCAAGGCTGTCAATCCGTATGTCATGGTGGAAAATCCAGACTACCGTGCATTTGTTCTCCGAAGCAATAATATCATCCAGCCACTTTGGGAAGTGGGGGCAGGTCTGGTCTGCTAGCGTTTCTCCATTATTTCCTGGTACAATAACAATGCTGCGGTATCCATGTTATCAGCAAGAAAAGACTGAGACTCTAGTGAAAATTGCTTACTTCGTTCTTTCAGAGGTATCTGCTCTCTTCTCGCGTATCTTTTGTAGCCGCGCCATATTGACCCGAGAGACCTGTAGAGAAAATACGCCTTATTACCACGTGATCATATTAGGCCGCCTAAAATCTGAGTTTCGCGAACTTTTCCAGGCAATGAGCTATTTGTTTTCAACCGTGCTTCACATCGTGATGAACAAGCAGGTGCGAGCAGCATTGGGTTAGATATATCTTCGCAAGCACAGCCTCACAGAAATTATGCAAGGCGTCCTGGAGCCTTCGTAGCTATCGAGGCTGTAGCTGTGCGGTGTCGTCATTTTCTTCTAATTGGCTGCGGAGGGACGCAAAGGCGATCCTGCCCAAGATATGCGCGCTGGCGCACTGTACCATGGGTATAGAGGCGCTGAACGCTATAAGTAACCCGGATGTGGAACACCGAATACCAAGGTGAGTATCTCCCCAAAAGACACGCCCTTGAATCAGGATAATTGCGGCGGTGTGATCAAATCGCGCAGAATTACAAGCGCACAGCCTCAGCCTCAGCCTCAGCCTCATACTTGCATTCGCACGATGGCAAGAGACCCAGGCTAGATCATTGAAGCGATGATATATGTGTTGTGGCATGGACTTGTCAAAGCTCCGTTTACAGCGATCAATTGACCTCTTAAATCGGCGAGCTCCTGATCAAGTCATAGTTGCTGATGGCTACTTCGGACGTCTCGGCCGATATTTCAACCACCGAAGGTACATCTAGCAATTTTCTCCTCTTACCTAATGAGAGTCTAATACGTCAGTAGAGAAAACAAAAGAATACACACAATCGTTTCTGGCTAGGATAAGATCCTTTCACAACGACCCACTACACTCAGCAGCGTATCTCGGCAACCTTGCCCGCTTTTTGCACAAACCCAACCAGAAGTCAGCTAGGCACGCCCGTCGGCCGAATCCGCAGCGGTTCGTGCCAGAGAGCTTGGCCGAAGAAGAATGCCGACCTTTTGTTTACGAATATGCTCTTTTCCCGGATATGGATCCGAAGCTTACAACATTCGATGACATCGACAAGTATAAGCAGGCCATATCCATTAACAATCACAACGCGGACTGTAATGAGCTAATATTTTTGGCTGGACGCCCTTCCCCTGAATGGCTCTCTGCTGTTGGAGCGCGGTATAAGCTCGATCATCGGTTCTTCCATCAACATCTTAATTTTCTTCCCACAGGCCAAAGAGACTGGTTTACAGCTCCTACGTTACCATCAAGATCCCATAATGTAATCCGATTCTGCATACCTTCCATACTCTTCGTCGGCGAGCACCGTTACGTGAATATAGTTGATCTGCAGAAGGCCAGAGGAGATTGCGAGCGCCGGTTACTGAGTTGCTTTCGATCGTTTTTAGAAGGGACTTCGACAGAAGCAGGACAGTCGATTGTAAGGCGAATAAACATCCATAGCGGAGACAACCTCGTCATCGAGCAAGAGCTCTCATCTTGTCTGCTCAAGCGGGGAGATCGCTGGACAGGTAACGATCATAGGAATCTGCAGAGAGGAGCCTGCTAACGTCTTCTTACAGTGCTTGTGTGGACGGACTCCGGCCAAGACAATGACTTTGCATTCGTACCCACGCCTGATACTGATCGATTCAAAGGCGCAGTCAACCGCTTCGACTTCTGTCCAGTGTTTTTCGAGAAGGACCTTTCCGAAAAACCTCACCTCTCCCGACCTCCGACTGACGCCCAAAATCCACGGCTAAGGCAGGCGCTCTCCTCGCTACCGGGTAACTATGGCCATACAATTGACTGGACAAAAGCAGCTGTAGACCCGTTGTCTGCGATTCAAGAAATTTTTACCTTCCACGCCGCATCGGAATTGCAATACGTAAATATGCTAGAACAATTTGCCACGGATCAAATCAGTCGGGCCGAGTCAAATCTGGCTGGAACAGACATGAGTTCGATTCTGCACTTCGACTACGCAAGAAGCATACTCATCAGGCATGGGGCGCACATTCAAAACCTCCTCGGCTCTCTCGACACGTGCCTGAAGGGTTGGAAGCATCGAGCAACTCAAACTCATTGTTGCGATGAAGAACTCATGTCAACACTCCGGGTTGACCTCAATTACCTTTCGACTCGTATCCAGAATGTTATCACGCTCTGCGAAGCAGGACGGTCTGCAATCATGAGCAATGCCTCCATCCAAGAGGCGAAACGTTCCAGCGAACAAGCCGTCCTTGTCACGAGTTTGACAAAGGCAACCAATCGTTTGACTTTTATATTCTTGCCAATCTCATTTCTTACATCAGTCTTTGGAATGAACTTCCGGCAGCTGGGACAAGGAACATTGTCCATCTGGCTGTGGGTAGCCATCGCGCTTCCTTTACTAGCTTGTTGTATCGTCCTAGTGGAGAGCGGAGGGCACCTAAAGACCATTTTGTGGCGTGGTCTTAGATGCTTGAGCGGGCAAAGCTGAGAGGTTTGTTGTATGATTGAATTAGTACTTAATGTTGACCTCAAACATGATACACGTACTATTGTAGCTAGTCAGCAGTAGGGTCATGATTGGGCCCCCGCGCTGTAGTACGGACTGTTGGTACAATGGTGTTGCGGTGCTTTTTATTTTCTACGGCAACCGCGGGATTTAGCTTACGTATAAAGCTTTATAACTCTTAACGCTATTTTAATCGCATATATCTCTATAAACTCTCTTCGAGGCCTTATAGAGAGCCCGCCACGTAATATAATATCAAAATCTCTATATTAAAGATATTTAGTCTTATATATACTATTATTTATACGTAAGATTAAATCTAAAAAAACGTATTAAAGTTTAACTATTTCTAGATGCTGTATCAAGTTCTAGAATGATTAAAAGAGATCTAAGACTCAGGATTTCATACATAGATCAACTGACGAGCAAGTAGAACTGTGTATCTCACATCTGGATTATGTGCCATTGAACTATGTGATGGTGGGTTTGTAGGGATCTAAAGGTAAGAGTATGTAGCATAAGTCATGCATAGAGGGCCATCCGAACTTTAATTTTTCTAAGTCCTACAGTGGAGAAATTAATGATTCTCCGCAAAGTTCTCCAGTCAGCCCTGTTGGGCTACCACTGTAGGACTTAGAAAAAATTAAAGTTCGGGTGGCCCTCTATGCATGACTTAGGGCCCCTTCTGCAACCACATATTTTGGAAATAACCCCTACATATTTCCACTAAATAACGCCACCACTTGGCTAATGAAAACAAGGCTTGAAAATAACGCTTAGGATATTTCCAAAACAAGTAGAATATGTGTACGGTTCCGTTCTGTAACCCTGTTTCTGAGGCTGAGTCAGAATCGTCGCAAAAATTGTCTTCTCCGTAAAAAACCATTGAATTCCTACCATTCCACATCGTCATGGCCGAGATACCTACTGCTACTGCTGCATAGGCTTTGGCTATCATTGATACTCCTATTACTCCCATTATTACCCCAAATAAGCCTGCTCCCATAGAGTGTCTACCGATACCGGTGTCTTATGGCCTATGATTTGAAGCCAGACTATGAAGGCAACATTTCGAAATAATACAACAATATCGTCTTAGCAAGAGAGTAGACACCGGCTTCAAATCTGAAGCATGGATAAGAAAAAGAGAATAATATATGTATATCGGTCATAGATGTCCACTATTCTTGGCGTTCTTAGCCTTATTTTGACTGAAAATAACCCTCGAGGGTTATTTTCATATTTCCAAGCCTGTTTTCGCTTAATAAGCGGAAATATGTGGAAATATGGTTACAGAACGATACCCTGTATATATTTGACGCTAAGCTGAAAATTAGTGGAAATATCTAGGGGTTATTTCCAAAATATGTGGTTGCAGAAGGGGCCCTTATGCTACATACTCTTACCTTAATTGACAGGTGTGTGTGCGATATTCTCAGCGCTGGGGGGCGCCAAGGATTGCGGAGCGTTGTGCACACGCTAATCATAAATCGTCCTGGAAATGCAATTCAAACACGTCCACACATTCTAGTACAGATGCAATCTATAGCTGCGAGGAGCAAAAGCTTGACTAACACTGGATTTCCTCGCCGTAAAAAGATGAGATTTTGGTTGATGCCAAACGCAAATATAAGTGGTACATTGGCTAGTCTCGAAGAAGGAAGGTGGCACGGCAGATTGAAATCGCGCAGAGAGCCGAACCCTAAGTTCATGCGAACCAAAATCTGTCCTCGAGTCCTCTACACCGAACGGTCCATCTAGGCATTTAATCGCTGCAATTCTCCATTGTTCCCTTCCAATCCACTTATCGCTAACCCAGCCCCACCATCTCAATCCCCCCCCCCCAACCTACGAACAATCGCAACGATGCGTCCAGTCCTCCCCCTCCTATCCCTCCTCCTCCTCCCCCTCGCCCTCAGCGCAGAGGTCACAACCGAATACACCGTCACCCACACATGCACGCGCAAGACCCAGCGCGGCGACAGTATCGCCGTCCACTACCGCGGTACGCTCGCCGCCGACGGCACCGAGTTCGACGCCAGCTACAACCGGGGCAAGCCGTTGGACTTTACCGTCGGCAAGGGGCAGGTCATCAAGGGGTGGGATGAGGGTTTGTTGGACATGTGCATTGGTGATAAGAGGACGTTGACGATCCCGCCGGAGTTTGGCTACGGGGAGAGGGCTATGGGGCCTATTCCTGCGGGGAGCACGCTCGGTAAGTCCGTTCGGGTTGGGGGGGGGGGGTTGTAAGGGGCTGATGTGTTTTGGGTAGTTTTTGAGACGGAATTGGTGGGGATTGAGGGGGTGACGAAGGATGAGCTGTGAGTGTTGGGTTGGAAGCAAGGTGGATGGGGTATGGCATCGGAGGCGGGTATGTTTCGATGCACCCTCAATGTCATTCATGGATATGCGGAGGAACACGTAGGCTATATATCTGCGGCTGGATTCTTGGTCTGCTAGAGTCCAAAAGGAGAATGCTTCTTCGCGCCTGTTTACCTCCTTCGTGTCTTATTAGACTGGAAGATTGGGGGATGGAATGAAACGTGTCACTGTCCATGTCCAACCATAACCCGCGCCATCGATGGACGCCCAGGACCTGCCCAGTGTTTTGAGATTGTGCACGTGAGAAACCGCCTATGTGGGATGTGTGCAGTCAACAGTAATATCCATCAAGTCGGGAACAAAACAATCAGGTCTAGCACGCGGCCGTTTGGAAAACCACTCCGTCCAGACCTTGACTTTAACACTGCTTCAACGAAGACAGTGAAAGGTTCAGGATTTCCGACTATGGACCTGGCTTGGTTCAAATCATGGGCTGGCAATGGGACGAAGAGATCAAGGGGTTATCATGTTGTGCTAAGGACGGGGAAGTACATGTCGTTTAATCGGGAGACAGAACGTCATCGATACACGGGAATGGGCTTTGTACTGGCTAAGAGCGAGGAGAGCCTCTCTGAAGATTTCACCGTTGAGCCTCCCTCTGCCGCTATCTGTTTGGGATCTCCAAGCGGGGATTTCAGGCTTTCGGAGAGTACGGGGCAACTTTTTCATGTCATAGGTTTGTGAGGGCAAACACCGAGTCGTAGTTGTCATCATCGTAGATTGGGCCGCCTACAGACTTCTCTATTGAATGTGGCCCTCGTTATCTATCCGGAAAATACTACTCCATGCAAGACTAATGACTCACCTTCGAGGACAGAGATGTGTTGAGCCGCGGATATTCTTGCATACAATATAATTGGCGAGTTGATGACAGCCAGTTATGATTTAGATCGTGGAGACCTCATGTTTTGGGCGTGAATACTTTTGCCTCAGCAGGCGGTCAGGCCCATATATCACAGCCCCCTATCTCGGGAGCCACAACCGTTTGCCTGTTGGCGGGTCTCTTCAGTGGCCAAGGAACATCCAAGCTTTTCTCAAAAGGTCGAAGTTACCAATCTTCAAACAAGCATCGTCGTATCTAGCTAGGTCCGCTGCAGCGGAAAGATATGTTGTATCATTTGCGCCCTTGACAAACACCACTATACGGAATGGGAGGCCGAGCGTGCAATTGAGCGAAGCATAGTCGAGAAGCCATGTGGGGCAACACCAGTACTCTAGAGGGTCTCGTATGTGGTCCTATGAGAAATCTGTGCTAGGCTTTGCATGACTTGGAATGGAAGCTCCGCTCCTTTTTCGTGCTGGGATTGGCATCCGTAGGCTAAAACAGAGCTGGCGAACAGTAGAAGCCAACGTCGCTCGCTGTTTTGAACCAGTCGAGGCCCATCGAAAGCGTCAATCTTAGAGTCGAAACCGCCCCTATGGCTACATTCGACTGGATACGGACATTGTCGCAGACAGCTACCGTTGATATAAGATACTTTTACCGTCTATTCTATTGAATAGCCTGGCAATTTTCGTTCAAGTCAGGCACGACGCGCCGTGTCCCAATTTTTCCGAGAACATATTCTCGGCGATGATGGGTACCACTCACTTACGAGTACGACAGATGCCATTCATGCATATCTAAATTTTCAACGTTCGTGTCTGCGTTTGTTTGTGGGGTTTTGGATATGGACCAGGAAGATTGAAGTCGCACTCATTCATCTCACTGGTAAGGTACTGTTGACCCAAGTCCCAGTGGCATCAGCGTTCTGAATGATGTCGCCGCTTACTGTTCGGTAGAAAATATTCAACTCCCAAGGAAAAGTGCCTGGTGTTGCTTGCCACATTGCTAAGAGCGCGCTTCCCGTCTGTGGCATATGTAAACCGGTCACAGCTGGTGCGGCGTGGGCTTCCGATGGAGGCAAGAGACTACCATCTGAGGACGAGACGGACGAGCACATCATTTCGTTCGAGGTCTGTTGAAAGCACAAAATGCCTCCGGTGGCCGGGGGTCCGCAGAAGCTCAAAGCTGTACTCGCCGGTACATCATAATAGGTCTCGCTGGGATCTGTCAACACAGTGAGCACGGATCCTAATCGGAGATAGCTATAACCCACCTTCTATCCAATTATCGTACGATGCATTCTGAGTGGCGTCATGGGTGGTATTGAAATTATTGGACCAGATTTGAAATTCATTGTTCTTGTCGAATACATAAAGATTGCCCAATCCTGACTCGTCCGACCAACCCGACGCAATCCCAGCGTTGCCATTGGTGCCGGGTATGACGGAGTGTGAGAAGTATTGTTAGCTGATATTCGGGAACAGAGCAAGCTCATGGAACTTGTTGTCGGGCGCCCCATAGTATAAGCGAATCCTGGGCTGTTTCCGTCTTGGCCGAGCCAGTGGTCACTGTCGAAGGCTGTCAGGGCTGTGGATGAAACTGATGCCGTGAAGTTGTAACGGCCAAGAGAACCAAGCTGCCAAGTTGCGAGGTCGTCAGTACTGAATAACTCTTGCAACGTGTTATTGACATCGATATAGTACAGGTGAGACTAATGGGTCGTCAACTTTGAATCGTATACACTTAGTGTGAGGTCAATCTTACATTCAACTCCCCATTACTAGCTGGGTACGTGAGAGTCGTCAGCGGTGTGGTATTTCTTGCGTTTGAGGCAACAATGGGGAAGCCACCGACAAATGGTGAAAGCTCGATGCTGTGTAGCCGGCGAATCCGGGCATCGTAGTCTTGATAGAAAAGACTGACATCAGGTACGTCAGTGAGATCCAAAGCTATAAATGCTAGGCCAGTTCCATTAAAAGCTCCGGAGGTAGGCAATTCGTCCTGGACCCGAGCGGTAGATTTTGAGTTGGCCGGTGAGCTCCTATGGAAAGGTTGAGATAATTAGCTGTGTCCGCAAGAATAAAGGTCTCCGACATACGGCTTGAAAGGCTTTTTCAGCCGTAGGGCCAAAGGTATAGCAAGTGCCAATACTATGACAGCTACTATGATCGCAGCCACGAGTAAAGGTAGAAAGCTTTTTGGTTTCAGGGATGAAGGGCTCCCGGATGGGATCTCGAGGTCGGAAGAGCCAGCTGGCCGCAGCTGAGCTGTCGTTACTCTATCATGCGCAAGCTCTTTCTCTGGAGCTTTCACCGGTTGAGGTGTAGAAGTTGGATGAACTTCTCCTGGTGTAGCTTCGATCCCTAGCGAATCCGGTAGCTCATGAGGTCTAGCTGCGCTCAGATCAACTTCCATCCCCTCACATGAAGTGACAGTCCTTCCATATCCGAGATTCGTCAATGCCATATGAATGTGTATCTTTGCAGGGTTCTAAACAGTAAATTTGAAAGCAATAATGGCAAACGGCATTCCTGTCACAGATACTATAAGACTCGCGTTGATTATCTTCAGCCGCCTGCACTTTGTTGAGCAAGGCAGACTTACGGAGTATTGTTATCTTACTGATGCACGAAGAGCCATAAATAGCGTAAGCCGCCCTCATCCGGCCCTTTTTCACACTCTTGAGGGCTGAGCTCGCCGAAGCGGATCGCTGATTCATATTCCTTCAAGCATCTCGAAATTCGGAGTATTGCTCTACTCCGCTGGTCACATTAAAGACTGAATCACTTTGAGACAGAGCTAAGTCAGACCACACTAGACTCAGCAGAGCCTGAGATTTGAGAAGATGGAACGCCAGTATCTTCAAGCATGGCCAAGTGCCAACCAAGCAACCCCATCTGGCGTTTTGGCCGCATCAGAGCAGCCGCTCCGGTAGATTACCTTTTCACATGTAACTTTCATGCGTAGCAACAGCATGAAGGACCAAGGATCGAGACACATGTGGTAGTCCCTGCAGATCAGATAACGAATTTCCTTTGAGCGCGAACGCGACCCTTTCCCCCGCCCAATCACTGGCGTCGCTGCCTGGCTGCCTCGGCTGCGACGTGCTCACTTCCTCCGTGTCCAGCCAGAGGCATTTGGTCAAAGAAAACATCTTCTACCATAGAGCGATTGAAGCTCTTGGCTCAGTATCTTACCACTCCGTTGATCTGGTCGCAAGGCCTTGGTACAAAAGGTGCGCGTAGCTCCTAGGGTATCAGCATATGCAGCTTACCCTACCGAGGTACTTGGGATCTTGTTGAATCTTCAGACAATTACACATGTATCGAGGCGCATAAGTAGCATAAAGAGCCATATCTGTCCACTACATTAATCCGATCAACTTACGTCGCCTCTATTCGCGATCTTGTGGTTCATCAGTATCCATGATGCATTGCCTCAGGCTCAACCTTGTACCTCATTCCCTTGTCACCCATCAGACTCTCAATTTCCGGTGTCCCGGTGGCCAAATTCCCACCCTCAGAATGCCTCCGCGCGCGCCCTAACCGGGGATGCGTGGTGTCAACTCCTTCCGGCACCCCTATCAAATCACCTTTCCTCATCAACGGCACAGAACTGGCTCCTCCACTCCAGTGGCCCTGCCCTGCCTCCTCATACGCCAGTCTCTGAAGCTGTAATTTCCCATCGAGCGTCCATTGCAAACCCTTGTATTCCTTCCATTTCAACCATTTGCGGAGAAGTCCTATAGCAGTCGGCAATACTAGGCTGGTGAAAATGAGCGCCGCACCGAGAATCAAGATAATCGCAACACCCAGTACGGAGAATGAGATCGTTCCGCCGGAGCTCCTGACGATCTGATTCTTGCACATCTTCTCCTGTTGTTCCACGGGCCTACTCAGGGTCATTCCGTCAGGTATGTAACCGGGCCCTGTAGCGTATTCAATAACTCGTTGCTGTAGCTTGGCCATGGAGACGGAAAACCAGGTGCTGACTTCTGTCATCCATTGATTGTTTGGGAGGGGAATTTGATCGAGATTATTCACAGTTTCGGAAGCCCGCAAGGCGCTGGCTCCACGTGAATTAACGCTGAAGTAGGTTGTAAGAAATTGAGTGATGAGGTCAAGTCGTAATGCAGTCACCATTTGAGCCTGGTTGAGGCTGATCTTGTTTTCGAATAAGGACTTGTGCGCCAGGACCAACGAGGTCAAGGGTGTGCATTGCTTGTTCGTTGGGTTACAGTATTGGTGTTGGTCAGTGCAAGCGAGAGCGTTGACCCACTGATCTGATGTGTAATACGTGTAATTTGTAGTACCGCCATCGATAGATAGGTTAAATGGAGTAGTGGCAGCGTAGAATGGATCTGTGACGGGCGCCTCGTAGCGGACAGAATTTGGGGCGAGTAGAAAGAGGGATACGTCAGCGTCGGTGCGATTGAGGGCATCGACAGGATACCATGCATTAGAAGCCGCCCCTGCAAGGTAGGCGAGAGATCTAGGTTTAGACTGTCAGTCAGGATTCTAGATCGTTCCACAGTGGGAGAGCTCACGTGAGCTGGTAGCTGTTACTTCCCACTATATTATGGGTGTCGTATTGGTATGTATAATTGGAGATTGAAAGAACAGAACCGTAGTCAAACTGCTGGAGTGTATCACCGTATGCGAGATCACTTGGATTGGTGTCATTGACTTCTGTTACATAGCCCCTGGTGTGGATAGGGGAGCCTAGTAGCTCTCCGTATCAGTACTTCTTGTTTGGGATAGAGGCACAAGTCGTGAGACAACCTGCACGACTCAATCTGCTCCCAGAACGTAGCTGTCGACACAACACAGGGTAGGAGTTCGGCATGAAAGGATCAGGGGGTAGCTTACACGTTGTGACTTTGCGATATTGGATCCGCTCAAATTTTGGTGCGTTTATTCCGAGTGCTTGATGTGAATCAATGTGGCCCGTGTCCATCTCATAAGCAGACGATGCGCCGTAAAAGCATAGGTCAGGTGCAAAGGGACATGTGGCATTTTGGTTGACTTTCCAAGGCAGCTGCTGTTGAGGATATTGCGCGCATTGCAAAAGACTCTGCGAACTTCCATAGCAGGCCCGTGAGTAGGTGGTGGCCGCAAAGGTGTCATTAACGTCTACATCATTAAAGGCAGCTGAATGCTGGCTAACGGCGTTTCCAGAGAAGTTGAGAAATCCGCAATCGGAAGATCTAATCAACGTCTCATTTCCGGCTGCTTTGGTGACTTCCGAGGAGAACACGCCAGCAACGCCTGCATAAATTTGGAAGTTAGCTTTGCTTTATTAAGGCGACGACCACAGTGAAGAGACACGCCTAGAGAGTAAGATCGGCCTCTTACTGCCCCGATATGTCTTGCACCGCAGGCTGAGTATCAGATGGGAACGATTCTCTCAGCAATGTACGTACCAAACAGAACAAAATTGAGGAGAGCGAGAGCTACTAGCGGTAAAGTTCGTACTAAAGGTCTGAGTGCATGCTTTCTCCAGTACCAGACCAATGAAACAAGCTCAGCAGACGCCCCAAACGGACTTCCTGTATTCTGGAGTATGGCTTGCTGTTGATGATGAATGCCGTCTTGAGGGTCGCGCGGGCTGCGGTGCTGGTGCAACGCAAAACTCATGATTTTCCAGCAAGCGGCACCGGCACCTGTGACAAATATGCCGAGGAATGCGGTCAGTAGTTCGCCATCGCGCTCACTGAGGGTTATGGTTGAGCCAAGGACGAGTCCATGAGACCAATTGATCCATGGACCTGTATGCACAAAAGGTGCAGCTGTTTGTGACATGATGGAAGTACGACGAGCTCGTAGCAGAGATCAGAGGAATCGCTGACTTGGAGTAGCATATGCAGGTGGGAATACCAAATATTTATATTGAGGCAGAATGATGGAGGAAGGAAGGCGGAGGAAAAGAGAATCTAGGCTGACTGAAGACTTGCCTACCTGAGCGCTCTGCAGACCACCCATCTCTTTCAGCTCCGTACAATTACATATCCAATGCCAGATCTAGAACCCTGGACCGAACTCGCGAGTCAAGCAGTACTTTCATGCACTCTGCAGATTGACTGTAACCTTAAGACGGGGAAGTTGCATTGGTGTGGTGTTGTGCTGTACTAAAGAAGGCACGTTTTCTCAAAATGGAAAAGTCAAGCGAACATGATCAGTCCGCATCTTCGTTACCAGTACCGTCCTTTCCAAACCCTCCACCCACCGCGAGGTAGAGACGGACAAAGACAGAAGACTGAAGGTATCTACTCTGTACATGCTTCAGGACAATAATGGCATTATCAAGTAATAAGTCAGTAGTAATAAGCAGCAGCAGAAGTTCAGAATATCATCTAGGTAATTTGCCGTCAAGAGTCAAGACACGACCCCGACCTCCTGACGGACGACCGTCCATTTCGACCCCCACCGGTGTGGCGTCAATGCCAAGGATGCTAATATACCGCACCAATCAGAGACGCGCATAGCCGAGACCTCAATTTCGGCCCCTGTGCCCCTCTAATAAATTGCTGGATGTTGACTTCACTCCCCTCAGCCTTGTCATTGACTCACTATCCATCCTTACATGAATCCATCATCGTCTCTACACAGAGAGTCATCTCTACCAGAGCAATGAGTTGCTATGTTCCATCCCCTTATGTCATCCATGGCCTTTGGGAACGAGGAAGTCTGACGAGAGTTGATCCAAGGATGGCCCCTCGACTGATGTGACATGCGTACACCTACACCGCTGGCTTGCAGTCAAGCATGGAAAGCAATAGAAAGGAAACTACATGCGCAAGGCTGATTCTCAGCCGCTCTCATCGGACCTTTGTGATTTGTTCAAGCAAGCCAATTCAGCCAGCAACACCCTCCCTCTCCATATGGGGGCCATGACCTTTTCTCCTTTCGGTCTCTGACTCCATTTCCTCTCTCTTGGCCACATAGCCTTGTGCACCATGTGAAGCTATATGTAAAAGCCCGTGCCCACAATGACATTCCTGTATCATTGCTGTCGTTGCCGATTGAGATTGTCCCATCGTCGCTCATTTGCGCGCTGTCAGGTCCGAAGTTGTTCAAGATGCAAATCTACACCAGCGACAAGACCTCTCCCAGGTCATTCCCGTGGCTCTGGTACCTGCGTCTGGTTGCCCTCGTCGTCACATTGATCGTGCTCGGCATCACAGCGTCAAATACTGCAACCTTTCATGACATAGGATGCGATGCACCGGGTAGAGTCAGCTTCAATCTCGCCGTCGTATGTCCATGTCCACATCCATCGGCAGGACGTCCGCTGACCTTGATTCCAAGTCGATCCTCTCCCTCATCGCTCTCGTCTACTTCATCCTCGCTTCGGGCCCATCCCGCACCACCAGGCTTCTTCCATGGTTCATATGGGGTCAGCTAGCCCTCGATGCCCTCATGTTCATCTTCTGGCTCTCCGCCGCCGCGACCTCGAGCTATAGCTGCACCGACTTATGTAACGCTTGCGGCATTCTCGATGGATATGTCTTCTTCGACTCCGAGTCCTGCGAGTGCTCCGACTTTTTCTACAAACGAGACTATTCTCCAAGGCGAGGGAACGTGCTGCAGCCGAGGAGGAGTCATTCAAGCAGTCCCAGCTCAGGCTCAACTGTGGGTGGAACGATAGCCGCGAAGCAGGCTTTTGATGCCATCATGACGTACGTAAAACACTCCCTAGACTTGATTTCAACCAGACATCTGACCATTGGACAGGGTTCTCTTCGCCCTGTTCATAGCTGCTGATATTTTCTGGGTCCTCAAATCGCGCAGATCTGGCACCGCTACAGCACCCGCTCCCACAATCGGCGCGCCAATGAAAAATGAGGAGGCTGGCATGTCCGCAGGAGGAGGCGGAGCGCCAACATATACCCAGGAGCCCGGCTCCCAGTACAACTATCCAATGGCCCCCCAGGGCGGCTACACGGGCCAGCCAATGCAGAACCAGGCCGGGTCACCCCAGCAGTCGATGCCCCAGGAAGCATACTCTGGAGGCCACTATCCTCAAGGTCAACCTCAATATCCAAGCCAAACCTCATATCCTCAGGGCCAGCAGGTCCCATTGCAGACGTATCCTTCGCCACAAGGAGAGTACCCACCGCAATACGGGGGCTCGGCTCCACAGCAAGCGAGCTATCCTGAGCCCCGAGATGGCGTCTCGGAGATGCACTCGCCTACGGAACCGCCAAAGATGAATGATCCGTATCACATCTGAAAAAATACTGTGTGGTACATGGATGGGTCGCCGGAGGCATCATGGGTTGAGGTCAGGCTTGGAATGGTAATGATTGGAACGGAGTATAATGTCGTCGACTCCGATTGGATGGGATAGGGCTCGTTTGGGCATGTCGTTGTGGTTCATTGTGATTTACATCGTCAAATTCTAATAAAAGATCCATGCCTAGGGCTTTCCTGTTCGCAAACGGAATAGGTCCATCTGCAAGTGATACTATTAATCTCCGGTACAGACACGGTCGTCCGAGTCTCTCGTGCGTCAATATGTTCGTCACTTAGCTAGTCTCTTCCCCCTTTCCTTTCTCCACTCCCACCCGACGCCAATCTCCCCCCTCCCCGGCCTCAACACAGCCGCCAGCCTCGCTCCCACAACCCCCTCCGGCAGCATCTCCCCCGTCGCTTTCCGCAGCCCACTACCACATTTCCGACCCAGTCCTCTCGTTCTTAAACAAAAAATCCGAACAACAACACACGCTCGGAGAGGCCAGGTCGGCAAACGCTCGTTCGCGGCGCAGAGGGCTTTTCGATCCCCGCGCCGGGGTGTGCGTGCGGCGATGGTCTTGCAAGGCGCGCGAGACGAAAGCCTCGTCCTGCCGCCTACGTTTGTCGACGCGGGTCGTTCAGACGCACGACTTGAAGGCGGAGAACAGGTCGCTGATGGGGTTTTGCGGCGCGTCTGCGATCCGGGGGTCGGAAGCCGCGGGTTGGGGAATTTGTCGAGGGGGGGGGGGGTGGAATGGAGGGATGATGGGGTGTCGGAGCGTTGCGGCCGGGCGGGATGGTGGGGGGTCGTGGTGGCGTGGCTCGCGGGCGCGCGGCGTCGCGGTTCTGAGGGCTCAGGGGGAGGGAGGAAGAAGGTGGGGAGGTGGAAGATGGCGTAGGATGTTGTGGCGAGTTCGGGGGCCGGAGAGACGCGTCGAGGATCATGGTTTTTGCTTGGGAGAAGGATGTTTATGTACACGGCATGGCTGTCGGTGCTTCGTGGGATGCTGGTCCTGCAGGTGCGTTTTGAGAGGGAGAACACCGTTGATGGAGATCTTGATGTAGGTAGACTGCCAAGTACAGATGATCGAGTAAACACCGACGGTGATTTCCAGGACTGCTGCCGTCGGCGAATTGCCGTGTATCGATGATGATGATGCAAGGATTTATATAGTGAATACTCTCGTATCTTGGATTTTGTGGTCTGAATAGGTCTCGATATGGTTTGGTCCCTGTCTGGCGGCGCAGCGGGGAAACCTGGGAGGAAATCTCATGTGGGCGGAACTGTCCCGAGGAGGACTTTTCGCTTGCAGCAGGGAACGACACCATTGAAAGGGCCTTGACAGGAGTATGTAAGCACAAGAGTCATTGAGGGTGCGCAACGATCCCTATGTGTTTGTTGTGATAAGATACAAGATACCTAGCATCTTGGGAGGTGCGATATCGAGATGCATGTGGTATCTCCAGCAGATGAGTTGAACGATGCCATGGTACCATTTCCTTCAGGGCTGTCGCACGTCGTTGGAAGTGAACAATTTCATCAAATTCTCATAGTGGTGCCAAATCCCATCGAGGTGATGGTACCGCCTGTTTAGAGCGCTCCGTGTTCGCTTTTGTTTTTTTTTTCCAAATTTCTGCGAAACCATCAATTTTGTTCCAATTACAACAGTCTCGTTTGATTACGGGTCCTCTCTGTTCATCTTATTAATAGTTAAGACTTGAAACATCTGCTGTTGTGCTGCGCGTTGGAGTCCCTGGGGGGCTCAGACTCGTATTCTGGAATGAGACCTCGTGTCGATCAAAATCAACCAATCATAGCCGTGGTCTCTTAGCAGCGTCGTGTTAGTTTCGACACTTGTTCTCGGAATCAGTATGCGCGGTCCCATATAACAATCAATCGCTCGCCATTCACCTTCTGCGTCTAACTCGTCGGTACGCACCTACGAACCTTCAATCTCTTCGTGTGAGTAACGAACACCGATTTCGCACTTCAATCGTTTATGAGATCCTCCCTAGACCGACCCAAACATGCAATATCTAGCACTTCTCTGCCTCGTAGCCGTCAGCGCCTCGACACCCATCATTGGACCTATTGATCCTATTGATCCTATTGGACCTATTGATCCTATTGATCCTATTGATCCCATCCATCAACGCATCGATATCTTCCTCCCCGGCTGGCCCACCTGCCCCCACCAGTGCGTCCTCGCCGTTCCAGACGAAAGCCTGTCCAATGGCCAAGAGCCAGTGCCAGTGTGCTTCGACAAACCGGCTCACGGTACACCATGCAACTACTACTATTGTTGTGGCAAGCCGGTAAGTTCAGCCGTGCTGGTCTCGAGAACGCAGACTGAGAGTATCCTTTCTAGGTCACGTGCGGCGTTCAAAGGAAGGTCTGCGAGCCGGGGACTTTCTCTACTAGCCTTTGGGTACCAGCGTCGCTGACGACTGGGCCTGTGCCCGAATGACGGACGATTGGGTATGGGATATGTGAGAAGATGGGCTGGAGGGTTGATGGTTATTGAGAGGCGCAATGTATGACTGCCCTCTTGATAGACTTAGGCATGGCTTGAATCCTGCTGCAGGTCTTTTTTTTTTAGTTGGGTCGGCACAGTCGCTCTTGAGCGCAGTTATATTGTTTCATAAAAAGCCATAATGACTTGTGTCGCTTTATAACCCGGTTCCAAAGCAAAGTGATTGGTATGACCGAGCTATATAAGGCCGAAGCATACATACGGAGACGGGCACCAGAGAGCCGCTTGAGGTCTAAGATTGGTACGTTAGTCGTGATACGGAAACACCTTTGGAGGCAGTGTGTAAAGGGACGTATCTGTCTGCTTTTCAAGCTTCAACAGCGTCCCTGGTGGGATGTTTCTAGTGTGCTGTGGGACAGTGTAGACTGAGTCTGCAGAGACAGAGGTATGAGCCCGGTTCAGCTTCTCGAATTTGTGTGCGTTGATAGCATATTGAGGTCAATGAGCCAAGATTCGGTCTCTCTCAAAGTCTGTTGGACCTGTCTTCCTTTCCCTTGACAGATCCTGGTTTTTATTGCGCCGAGGCTGGTAGTCGTGCATTGCGCTGAGGCAGACAGTGAGCGACATGAGGAGAGCCAGAGGTTTAGCTTACACGATTACTTGACTCGTATCAGGTGATTTCATACTTAAGTTCTCAATTGCCGCTATCGTCTTCGCCCTGGACTTGACAAGGAAAGCGAGTCAGTAGTATAGAAAAATGCCTCAACTACTCCCAGAAGTACCCGATTTAAAGCTGAGAAAACAACGATGCGTGGTACTCCTGATCCACACAATGGAGATCTTGTGATTAGAAGCTACAGAAATGCGACATTCTTCGGCTCTAAACGAGTATTCAAACCCGCGTACTATCTACAAAGCAAAAGCTCAATCTTTGCATTGATTTCGCAGCCCCTGCAGAAGACATCACTGGATCTTGTACACAGCGCTAGTGCTTGCAGCCCGATTCGTCACACTGACACTGCCCCTTGGCCATCCTCAACTGGGCTCCCAACACGGGTTGTATATATTGGGACCTGCATCAGGACCAGGATTCCAGGTCGAACAGTCGCAGGTGTATGGGCTCTTGCTGCCATCAAGTTGACAACAAGGACCTGAGCCGGCTAATGCAGTTGCGCAGACGCCATCGTTGGCTTGCATGATATGCGCGTTCGGTGTCAATTTGCCGTTTTTAATGATACATTGGCATGCCTCGAATTCTTCGTTGACTGGGTTATTGCCGTTGGCGGCGTTGACGTACTGTAAAATCGAAGACAAAACTGGGACTGCGATAGTAGAGAGTGTCGCACGCTGGGGAACAGTTGACGATAGTCTCGGCAACAGCAGCTTCGATTCCTTGTACTATCTCGCTAACCTGAGAGTCGGGCAATGCATTCAAAGACAAGGTATGCCGTGGCTAGAATTGCACTTTAAACGCAATGCATGTTGTACGGTGGAAGACTCCGATAAAGAAGATGCAAATGGAAGAGTAGAAAGTTGACCAAATAACCAAGACCATACCTTCCGCACATTATTGTATTCACTCACCTGGGGACCCTTGTCTTCCGGGTATCAGCGTCGACATCAATCAGTAACAATCTGACCGCGTCGTTGGGATTTGCATCGGTCGTGACAGGGGTTTCTCGGCCAACCGTAGACAAGAACAAGGTTACTGGGAAGTCCATCGAGACCCTAAGACGACCGCGCCAATGTGGTGCAAGCTTGAAAGGAGCTCAACTCGAAAAGATCATTGTACTTCAAACACAATTACAACATGGAAGATTAGTTGGACCTATACTCGTAGTATATAGTTCATAAGGAAGCAGAAACGAAGACAGCCTATGAACGCGGAGATCAGATAGGATGAGTAGAAATTCGGAAGATGAATTGTGATTCCAGCAGGACTGACTGTCTTTTCATTGATGGGCAGCCTGGCACGCGGGTGACAGAAAAGCCTGGACACTAACCTGCATTAAGCTAGGAGATCAAGGGCCGTCCCACATACAATTTCACACCCAAATTTACCCTCTTAGTTCATAAATGAGTGTGTAATCAGTATGCCTGAAAGGATCCAGGCTATTCTAGACGGTGATGGACAAGTAACAGGCTATCAATGGAAAAACATGGTATTTACGCATAGAAATTTGGTGGGGGAAGGCCGTAATCTCCATTTGGTTAGTGTCCAGGCTTTTCTGTCACCCGCGTGCCCGGCTGTACTATCTCCACGTGACGAGCTCGATAAGGTTGGTGGCGAGCTCGCAGAACCGGCAACTCGGTGCGAGTTGCCTCCGAAACCGCAGAAGAACGGTTTTTTAGTAGGAGTGAACCCTAAGCTACAATCGCTTCGTTCCTGGAAAAATGGTGTAGTTTGATGGATTCTAATGGAAAATATGCTGCGCTACCACCGCTATGCCGTCCGTCAACTCGCAGAAAGAGGCTTGCTACTGATGTCCTTAATCTATGCCAGGAAGCCATGACGCAAATCGCTCGCTGTACTTGTATCGTAAAGAAAACAATGATGGGCGTGAGCCGGAGAAGTGTAATGTAATGATCCACCAACGCCTGCTGTCACGGGCTAGAGCTTCAAGCGCGAGCCACGATCATGAAAGGATAAAATGCCAACAGCCAGACTCAGACACCATACTCTTACCCGTGCTATCGGTAATAAGATGAATTCGTGTAGTACCTCTCATCCTTATCCTTGGTCTGGCATGACAGAGGCTTCTTCTGGGGCTGCCGGGAGTCGAGGAAGCTCTGAGGATAGTAACGCTCGTCTGTTGTCTTAGACCTCCCATCGTCTCGCGAAGAGGAGCCATGGCTGATCGAAAGAGGTACCTTGTCGGAATTCGAAGACCGGCCAGATTGACTGCTTGAAGACTTGCCCGAGGATGCGGAGCGCGGTTCACTCAAGGTTGTGGCGTACCTTGGCTCGAGGTACCTGTCGTCGTATCTTACGGAGTCATAGGTGGCGCGTTGTTTAGAATCTGTGAAACTGATTAGGGACAATTCTGCGACATCGAGTAGGAGATACACACCAGACTGGCATGACAGAGGAATTTTGCCTGAAGAGTAAGATGAGGTCGAGCGGCTTGATTGGTTTGAGCGAGACATCGTCGATGTCGCTGATAAAAGCTAGGTCTTGTATGTCTTGGGTATGATGCTGAGCAGAGTGGATCGTTGTTGGGTCGTTTGGCTAGGATACTTCGGCGGTGACGGACAGACAAGGAGGTGTCGCTGCGATTGGGTCCAATTGAAGTGTCTGAAGATACGCAATGGATGTGAAGTGCTAGATTTGAAGAGTAGCGGCAGTATTTGGTCTCGGGGTTATTAAGACGAGCGCAGAGAGGAAACAGCGAAACAGCACGTGAGAAGGCCCAAGAGGATGGCTTCGTAAAAGGATTAAATGCAATTGGTTTATATTTTGAGTCGTATGGAGAAGTTGCACACTCAATCGACTGATGCAGGTACAAATTGAGAAGAGAAATTTTACTGAAGAAAATTGGTTTCTTATACCAGCACGCCTCATAGCCGGGGCAGTATGAGCAATCTTCAGGAGTCGTCAGCGGAGCCGCATCGGATCACATGTTGCCTAATTGGCATGGCGAAAGCACCACTACGCCCTTTGGCCCTTGTAACATCAGAACAAGGCACCCGTCCCAAAGCGGTTAAGCGCGAGGCAGCAATCTACTAAGACTGACCGGCGAAAATAAAGGACAAGAGTCACTTGGAAAATGATCGAGACACAGGGGCTTAAGAGTCATTTCGACGGTCGGCTGTGTCCGATATAATTCGAGTATTGGATGTGGTTGGGTACTTGCAGAAGGGGCTCGTTGAACGCTTATCGGCGCCTCCGCCCCTGCAAGGCACAGTGTTCGCAGGAATTCATTGAAGCTTCTGATTTGACCGATTGACTCAATCAGGGTCTTCCTGCAGCCTAGTAAGGGAAGGAAGAAGCGTCTTGGTGTAGGCAGATTTTCTAGTCGAGAACTGAGCGGCTGTTGACCATTCAGATGCCCAGCCACGCGCCGCAGTCGATGAAACGAAGGATGGGAAAAAGAGGCTATACTGGGAAACATGTTTGCTGTGCGCTCACTCAGCCCATGGTTCAGCAGGATAAGAAGGCAAGTAGGCGATGGTGAACTAGAGAATGAAGAGTGAAAGCTGAAGGGGCTAATTACTAATTCATACCCCAAAAGTATGGATCCTTATCGAATCATACCCCTAATTACTGAATCATACCCCTACACTAAAATTTGGGGTATGATTCGGTAAGGAAAAATTGCTTGGGGTATGATTCGGTAATTTATCAAACTTGCCATAGTGGCCTACTTGAATGGCCTACTTGTAGGTGTAGCTAGGTGCCTAGGGTATAATTCGATAATTTATTAAACTTGCTATAGTAGCCTACTTGAATGGTCTACTTATAGATGTAGCTAGGTGTTTATATCTATATTATTTATTAAGAGTAAAATTTAAATATCTATATCTATATAGACTATTAAAAGTGAAATTAGAAGTATATATAAGAGTAATAGACTGAGTATAGACTAGACTAAAAGGTTAAATTTCTATATATAAATTAAATAGTTAAATAGCGTTCGAAAAGATATAGATAGCTATTAGATTCTATAGCTTAGTAATTAAAAATATTATAAGATTCTAAAAAATACGACTTTAACGCTAAAAGCATATATATTTAATATTTATATATATATACTACTTAAAAAAGTCGTAAGATTAATAGACTATAAACTATATCTACTACGTGCTCTATAGTACTCGACTCTATTTAGATCTATATTTTTTTTAATATTTTTCTATATCTATACTATATTTATAACTATACTTATATATAATCTTATAAATTTAATAACTCGATATCGAGCTAGATCTTCTATAGCGTAGCTATATATATCGCTATAGTAATATAAATAAGTAAGTAAGTAAGTAAGTAAGTAAATAAATAAGTTAATAAGTAAGTAGATAAGTAAGTAAGTAAGTAAGTAAGTAAGTAAGATAAGTAAGTAAGTAAGTAAGTAAGTAGATAAGTAAGTAAGTAAGTAAATAAGTAAGATAAGTAAATAAATATATAATTAGATAAGAAAATAGTATAATTTTTTTAATAAGAACCTAGTATACTTATTTCTTAATCAATTAAGACGTCTATAAAGACTATAAATACTTTAAATATTACTCTTTTAAGTATTCTAAAGTTCGCTATAAGATTAGTTATTTAGTTATAAAGTAATTTAATAATTTATATTTTAAATATAAAGTAAAGAAGATATTCTTATATTAATAATAGCGATAATAATATTATACTTTTTAGATACGCTAAAACTCTCTTTATAAATATATTATTAGAGCGTTATAGAGCTTAAATATAAAGGAGATTAATTAAGAAATAAGAAAGTAATAATTAAAGAGATATTTCGCTATTTAATAATTATTCTAAACTTAATATTTTATAAATATTATAAAATAGATAGTAATAAAATAATGCGATTTAATTAATTAAGATCTCTTAAATCGCTCTTCGAGCCGTAAATACTTAACTCTAAATTAATATTAAATAAGTTTTAATAGTTTTCTTTACGAGATTTTTAATAATTAATATCGATCGAGACTATGAACGGCGATAGCGAGGTCCTATTAGCGACGTAATATGGCTTTAAGCGATATCTATAATTATATTAATAAGAGAATTATACTTAATCTCTCTTATATAAAGTAATTATTAAATAATATAAATCCGAGAAATTATTTTTTAAATAATAAAAAGTGAGGTCTTAGCGTACTCTAAGAACTTTAAATAATTTTAATTTATTTAAAAAAATATCACGTTCGAGATTTTTCTAAATTATCTATTAGTTTAAATAAGTTAGCTTTATCAATTAATCTTAATCTATCTTACCTCACTTTAGATCTTTTTACATATATTTATCTATTCTTCTTTCTTCTTTTATATATCCTTTATCTAGTAATAATAAATATCGCTCTTAAAATTATATTCTCGTTATTAGAAGCGGCTTAAGTAACTAGCCTTTATATGTCATGGTTTCAACCGGCATTCCTTCTCCAGACTTGCGCTAGGCTCCATTCGGGCTAGCTCCTTGGCGGCTTGGCACTCTGATGACTTCGGCACACATGTTACTTAGCAACCTTCATAGTTAATATTCCATTCATATGACACCACTAATATCATTATTCGATACACGGTTCATTCCCTGACATAATATTAACTATCCAACATAGCCGTGAGCTAAGCTATTGTTGCCTGCCTGCTCCTGCCTGCCTACCTGCCCTGCCCTGCGGAGATCTCTCGAATATCGACTACTCAATCGCCTTGTTGTGGAGGAGATATCCGGACGATTCCCTGCCTGCCTACCTGCCTGCCTGCCTGCCTGCCCTACCTCTGCGGAGATCTCTCGAATATCGACTACTCAATCGCCTTGTTGTGGAGGAGATATCCGGACGATTCCCTACCTGCCTGCCTGCCTGCCTGCCCTACCTCTGCGGGGATCTCTCGAATATCGACTACTCAATCGCCTTGTTGTGGAGGAGATATCCGGACGATTCCCTGCCTGCCTGCCTACCTGCCTGCCTCTGCGGGGAGATATTTCGACTATCTCTCGCTTGCCTTACCTGTTACCTGCCTGCATCAGTGGAGAGATCTCCACCTGATCCGTTATGGACTCGGATCAAGAAGAAACCCGTCCTAAATCGTCATTGACGATTCAGCATTACCAGGCCCCTGCGGGGAGATATTTCGACTATCTCTCGCTTGCCTTACCTGTTGCCTGCCTGCCTACCCTGCCTCTGCGGGGAGATATTTCGACTATCTCTCGCTTGCCTTACCTGTTGCCTGCCTGCCTACCCTGCCTCTGCGGGGAGATATTTCGACTATCTCTCGCTTGCCTTACCTGTTACCTGCCTGCATCAGTGGAGAGATCTCCACCTGATCCGTTATGGACTCGGATCAAGAAGAAACCCGTCCTGAATCGTCATTGACGATTCAGCATTACCAGGCCCAGATTCGTGGCCTCAACACTACTATTCAGAATCTCAACACAACCGTAACACGACTTCGAGAGTCACGGGACCTTCATCGTTCCAATGCAAAGACTCTCACTGCTACGAACACGGAATTGCAGGCCAAAATTCAGGCCTTGACTATCAAAGAAGAAACGGTCACTCCAGCAGAGCCTCTGGATTCCGATGTGGATGAACAACCAATCAAATTGGAAGTTACCAAGACTGGACCGCCTAGCCGCATGCGGCTAGCGCATTCAAATCAGTTTCGATTCGGCAAATCATCGGACTTTGCGTTTTTGAACGAATTGGCCTCATTCGATTTCGATTTTTTTTTCGCTTTTTGCATCCCGGCAATCGCCAAAACCACGAATCCACCACACCATTACTTCAAGCACCTTCCCGGGCTATTGCCCCACATTGATACCCCTGTTGCCTGCGTCCGCAGGCCTGCTACATGAGATTTGGCTCAATGCCACGGTCGGACACTGAGAGTGTCTGCGAGAAAAAGTTCAAAGTTGTTGTTTCAGGGGGTAGCAAATATGCTTCAGGCCATAAAGGCTAGTATACTATGGATCATGACGATCGTCTCGCTGTTACCACCTCGCCGTCGCCATGATTTAAACCATAGGGATATGGCCATTTGAGGGGGGGGTAATGTCATGGTTTCAACCGGCATTCCTTCTTTAGACTTGCGCTAGGCTTTATTCGGGCTAGCTCCTTGGCGGCTTGGCACTCTAATGACTTCGATATACATGTTACTTAGCAACCTTTATAGTTAATATTCCATTCATATGACACCACTAATATCATTATTCGATACACGGTTCATTCCCTGACATAATATTAACTTCGAGAGTCACGGGACCTTCATCGTTCCAATGCAAAGACTCTCACTGCTACGAACACGGAATTACAGGCCAAAATTCAGGCCTTGACTATCAAAGAAGAAACGGTCACTCCAGCAGAGCCTCTGGATTCCGATGTGAATGAACAACCGTTCCGCCTAGCCGCATGCGGCTAGGCATTCAAATCAGTTTCGATTCGGTAAATCATCGGACTTTGCGTTTTTGAACATTGGCCTCATTCGATTTCGATTTTTTTTCGCTTTTTTCGGCAATGCGCCAAAACCACGAATCCACCACACCACCTCTCAGCACCCCACACCATTACTTCAAGCACCTTCCCGGGCTATTGCCCCACATTGATACCCCTGTTGCCTGCGTCCGCAGGCCTGCTGCATGATTTGGCTCAATGCCACGGTCGGACACAGAGAGTGTCTGCGAGAAAAAGTTCAAAGTTGTTGTTTCAGGGGGTAGCAAATATGCTTCAGGCCATAAAGGCCAGTGCACCATGGATCATGACGATCGTCTCGCTGTTGCCACCTCGCCGTCGCCATGATTTGGACCATAGGGACATGGCCATTTGAGGGGGGGGGTAATGTCATGGTTTCAACCGGCATTCCTTCTCCAGACTTGCGCTAGACTCCATTCGGGCTAGCTCCTTGGCGGCTTGGCACTCTGATGACTTCGGCACACATGTTACTTAGCAACCTTCATAGTTAATATTCCATTCATATGACACCACTAATATCATTATTCGATACACGGTTCATTCCCTGACATTATAAGATCTCTTAAAAATCGTAATTATAGAAGTATTATAAAACGGCTAAGAATAAGTATTAGATTATACGATATAGGCGTTACAACCAGCATATTAGGTGCGATACCAGTATGGGTGAGGTGGAACTAGGATAATAAGGCTACCGAACTATGTATGTAGGAAGGAGGCATGATATAGTAGGAGATGCCTCCGCCAAGGCCCGCTAGCCATAGGGGAGTGGTGTGTCAAGGGTACGCTCGTAACACTACCCCCCTCCAATAGCCATGGCCCCCATGGCTGGTAGCCGGAGATGCACGCCTATTGCTTGCCCTGTTTTCAACATCCATAGCCCCTGCCGTTGACTGGAGAAGATTTGCCGAGGTGTAGCGGTAGCAGTCGGACATCGGATGGTTTCAATTCGTTCAAAACACCATGTCCGAGGTTTTGCCGGATCGCATGCTGGTCTTGACTGTGCCATGCCTGCCATGCCTGCCATGTCCTTCAGAGATCCTGGAGATATTGGCCATATCTTGTCTGCGTGCCAGAACAAGATTCTGAGTTCTTCTCCAGTGTCTTGCCCAGGACTTATTATTAACGAGCTATATATCTATTTAATATTTACTTATAATTAAAAAAAACTTAAGTACTCGATAAAGCTAATTATCTTAAATTTAAGAATTATAATAGCTCTTATAAAAGACCCGACTATAACGATAAAGTATATTAGAATTAATAAGAGATTAGATTATAAAGTAATTATAACTTATATATAAGTCTATCGAGCTAAAGTAGATATTCTAATAAATACTCTAAGGCGACGACGCGGAGTTCTTTTAGAAGATATCTACTTTATTTATAAAGATAAAAGACGATATAGCTAATAACCGGCGTATAGTATAAACAAAAATAGATATTAATAATAAATATCGATTTATTCGATATACGATATTTCTAATTACCACGACCTATACTTCTAAGTATATTCGAAACTTTTTTATTATAAACGAAGCTTATTATACTATAACTTATCGAATAACGTTATTTACTATTACTACTCTTAATAATAATAATAAGATTCTTTTAATTATATGAAATCTAGTTTCTATCGAGTTCGAGAAGTATTAGACTTAATTTCTAAAGATATATTATTCTTATCTATTAGATATTAACGAGAATAACTTTATTATTATAAGTAATCGAATTAAGAATTTAATATCTACTATATATAAGAACTTTTTAGTTATAAAATACGCTTTCTATACTTTTTATCTAAAGAGAAATATAAAAAAGAAGTTCGATAAGAACTGCGTAAAGCTCTTTTAGAGATATGCTTATATAAAAAATAGAACTTTCTTTAAAAATTCTATTCTAAAGATTTAAGAGATAAATAACAAATACGATAATTATATTTATAAGATTTCTTTAGAGTAATATAGTATTTACGCCTTCGATTATCTTCGCTATAATTAACTTATCTCTAATATTTATAAAAGTTAGAATACTTATTAACTTAGTTTAAGAAATCGCCTCGTAATTATTCTTATAGTCGATATCTAAAATATAATAATAATAAAGATATTTATTTGATAACGTAAAGACTTTAAGAGTTAGGCGACTTATTAATTATATATAAAAATATCTCGATAATATATAAATAAGTAATTAAATATATAAGACGATATTCTCTAATAACTATTATATAATAATTCGATTTTCTAATAATACTAAATATATAGTTAAACTATTTAAGCGAGAGTATATTTATATCGATTATTAAGATAATTAATTACTTTATAAATACGCTATAATAATATATCGTTATTATAACCTCGAAGCGAAGAAGTATATTAACGATAAATACTCTATAATAGTATATTAAAATATATACGATTAAGTCTTTATAATAAAGTTAATTTAAGTAATAAATCTTAAAATTATAAAAGACTATATTACTTCTCTAATAGTATATTATATAAGATAATTAAAGAAGCGACGAATTTAACTTAATAAGAGGCTTTATAATAAGTTAATAAGACGTCTTCGATATAGTACTTATAATTAAGTAGAATATAATAAGAAAACTTATAATAAAGTAGACCTTAATTCTTCTAATTTTATAAGCGATAATAATATTAGTTCTAATACTACGAGCGATAGCGAGGATTTATAAAACGGCTTTTCGAATAATATTAATAATATTAAGTTTATAATTAAGTTTATTAGAATTATAGCTATAAAAACTATAAGCGAGATAATACGTAAGTTATTATTTATTTAAAATTTAGATAGTATATAATATAATCTATTCTCTTAAGACTCTTCTAGAATATATCTTCTATATTATATTAACTAAGTAATAAAATTAATAAGATAGCTAAGAGCGGCCTAAGAGAGTCTTATTTTGATACTTTTATATAAATTCGACTTCTAACTTTATATATAGTTAAAACCAAATCTATCGCTATCGTATTATCTTTTAATAATAGAATAATTCTTAATAAGCGAACTTAGCGTTTATTAACGACTCTTAGCGTATATCGAATAATAAGAGTTAGTCTTATAACTTATAAGATAATCTTAATAATAGCTATTTTAATAAGAAAGATCTAGAGAGTAATTAGAGCGAAGATAATAGTAAATTAATAACTTAATAAACTCTAACTAACGATTTAGAGCTTATAATAATATAAGTATATCTTAATATAGAAAAGTATTAAGATATAAGTAAGTATATTAAATAGAATATTAGAAAACGTCTTAATTAATAAGAAAGAAATCTTCGAGGAAATAATAGAAGTATATAAAGATATTTAACGAAGCTTTATAACTCGCTTAGGTTTCGATAATCGATATATAATAAGAAAGTAATAATTCGATATTATAGATTAAGACGATATCTCGAAGTCTTCCTTTTATCTATAAGTTAAATCTAGTATTTTAAGTCGCTAAATAAGACATTTAGAAGATCTAGAATTACGCGATATAGTAGATTATCTTAAGAGCTAAATAAGATATAATCCGAAAGATAATAATACTAAGAATTCTTTTTCTTATATTATTAATAAGATAGTAATATATTAAAGAAAGTATAATCTAAATAAACGGATAGCGAATAATCTATATAATTAAAGATCGATTACTTTAATAGAGTATAGAGCGTTATACTTATATACCTCTCTTATTATTTATTTAAAAAATAAATAAACTATAATATCTACTCTATCGAGGCTTAAAAATTCTATATTATTAACTAGTTATTAGTTAACGAGTAAGTAGCTAGTATCTTAAATAGCCGCTTATAACTTACTTAATCTTTCTATTTTCTTATCTACTCGACTATCGAGTAAAATTATTTTATTTATATAATTAGAAAGCGATATCGAAGTTCTCTTATATAGCTTACGAAGGATTAAAGTATATACTCTATTAAGTATACTCTTAGATAAAGGCGTCGATATCGAGAAATTAGATTATAAGTCTAATAAGTTAATTACTATATTAATTATATAAGATAATAATAGAGATAAAAGTATTATTATAAGCGAATAAGATAATAGAGATAAGAATATTATTATAAGCGAATAAGGTAATAGAGATAAGAGTATTACTTAAATAATAGCTTTTAGTAAGACTAATAATAGTTAAAGACGATAGACTTCTATTACTTTAATTAGTAATATATTTATAAATTAGAGATAGAGCTATAAATAAGTTTAGTCTTTTATCTAATGTATTTAGCTATTTGATATAAGTTAATTTAATTAAAGATATCGATAGTCGAATAGACTCTAGGTTAATCGTCTAATTTGCGTTTATTATAACTCGATTATCCTAAATAATAGCATAATATCGAATTATATCTCTAGGGGTATGATTCAGTAATTAGGGTATGATTCGGTAAGGATCTATAGTTTCGGGGTATGAATTAGTAATTAGCCCAAAGCTGAAGAGGCGGAGTTGTGCGCTACGCCAAGACTTGTCCCGAGGCGGATCGTTGACTCCTCATTCTCGGGTCTTGATGATGACTCTTTTTGCGGGTTTAAAAAAAATACTTTTTTCCCCCCCCCCTCTTTTTTTTTAAAAACATTGGGGGGTTTTTCATACAAACCCCCTCTTCTTTTCCACATTAAAGAAAGACCATATCTCACACCAAAACACACAAACTGGTTGCCTGGCCCCCCACCTAGTATCGTGCTGGATTAAAAAAAAAAAAACAAAAAACCCAAAAAAAAAAAAAAACATTTCCCCGGGCCCGGGGCCCCCCCATACTGTTATTTAAAAAAAAAAAAAAACAAACCAAAAAAAAAATTTGACCTTCTCTACCAGTATATTCCCATCTTGAGAACTTTTACATGTTGAGAAATGAACCCCCCCCCCAAGATTACGGATACGAATACCCCATATTAGTATACTTTACAGAGTATGCTATTTTCGTCGGAGCCTCCTCATGCAACTAGGCATAGGCGCAACCAAAATCTTCGTTTCAGCATTCATGCCTCATCAATGTTCCATCGTTGCGTAAATGGTGTAGCAGTAGCACGCCAGGGTTGCACAAACACTGTGCCGCGCGACCATGATAAGACCATGTGCAAGAATAGATCGTTTATTTTCTAGCTGTATCAAGATACCAATCCACATCATCACTCGCTCACTTCGAGTATATTCGGTTCAATGTATAACTTTCAAGTTTCCTGTGCGCAATCGGTTCCATCACTAGTATCTTTCTGATATGATTCGGTCAGTCCTGAAGTTCCATGCATCTGCTTCCTGTGCGTTGTTTCATGATCTTTTCAAGTCCATTTTTCTTGGCATGTATGCCCAAAACTTTTCCCAAGATAGGTCCCGTGGACCAAGGTGCTATCAATTTCCAAGGGTTGCCCCTTTTCGAAATAATCGTAAAGGTTGTAACGCGGACGTCGCCCTAGCGAGGCACACTACCCACGTTGTTCACGTTGCCCAAGAATACGACCAACACGGCGCAATAACTGCCGTACCACAGTTTAGTCGATTGCGGGACAGAATAACACGCATGCCTCGCAGCTAAAATTATGCCCTGGCAGCGATCGGGGCAGGGGTACTCACCCTGCGGATGCGGCCACGATCTCATGCCGTTTCGCCTTCGTGAAGCACGTGAGGGCAGCAGAGAACACAAGGGTAAAGACAAGGACTACGCCGATAGTATCCGGACTTGTGGCAATTGTTCCCTGAATGGAGAATCTGTAGAGGAGCCAAATCGGCACCACGAGGAGAGCCAAGACTATGGTGGTGATCATCATCGTCACGCAAGTCGAGATTCTATCGCGGTCGTAGTAGTGGATATCTTTGTCGTCGGTCTTGTCTCTTGTCTCCTTTCGAGGGACTGTTAGACAGCGAAATGCGGGCATAGGAGAGTAGATTTGGAAATAGTACTGACTTTAGGGCAGAAGAAAAACTGTCAAGGATTGTCAACACTTCATCGACATAAGATCTCTGAGACTTAGACTTACCTTGATAAGCCTACACCGCAGCACCTTCAACGTCCGCTCAAGCAGTCCATCGAGCCAAGCATACTCCCTGCCCGGTCTCAAAGTAATTAGATCTTCTTTCTCATATATAAATCCCATATCCTCTTCAAAAAGCTGACCTCCATCATTCTCCATGAAGTGTAAGACGCTCCGATAGTCTCGATTCGACGGCCTATCCATTGCCTTGAGCTTTTGGGCTTTGAGCAGTAATTCCGCTACATCGTAGTCAGCCAGAAGCCCCTTCATAGTTCCGATGACGCAGGTACTGACCATACTCAAGCGCGACCTTCTCCATCCTCTCCAACAGCTTTACCCTCGATTCCCCCTTCCACACCTCAGGAATCTCTTCCCTCTCAACATCGAAAGATCTCGACATAAGATAACTTTCATTGCCATCAGCGTAATCTGATCTGTTTGGTCCATAGCAAGAAGTGTAGCTTCCATCCTGCTCATCTCGTCCTGTTTAGACAGCAAGAGGCGGGAATATACCGAGCCGAAGCGCCGGTATACCATGAAGGCATCGTCGCTGTCGAGGAAGCAGGAGATTTTCGGGAAACCCCTTGGGTAATCTTGCACTAGGAAGGGTCAATTGAGGCGAATTTGGGTGTTTATGGCGACTCACGTTTGCGGACTTTGGGCTTCGACATGCTTTGGCAAGCGGGGTCTTTCCATGGCAGTTGGCCTGATGCGACGAGCTGAATCGCGGTCAAGATCTTAGACTTGACTAGTGCGATTTAGTATCTCTCCCCACAAGTTTGGTTGCTAATATCTACAGCGAGTATAAGAACCAGTTCTTTCCGCAAGCGTAGTATTTGTTTCTGTGCTCTCGGTGGGGCTTTCCTTGAAAGTTGAATCTGAGAAAGATGAAGAGACTGGTAAGCCTTTCTCCAATTGGCTTGCCTCAGCATCAGATGTCATTTTTTATATATAAGATGACTGAAGGGTAGTTCAATAATTCTCTCCTGGGTTCTTCAACGTTATATATATTCATCGATTTCGTGAGCTAACTAATCGAAAGATGACACGGCCATAACATCGTCGACTGTTCCAAGCCCTGTAACGCCTGGCCGAACATGAACGACATAATCTGTGCTCCTTGGAATCAAGCACCTGTCAAACGTCTTGCAGCCCCCCATCTCCATTCAGCCTAGCTTCGTTTCCTCAGTCTCGCCTGCGACTCGCTCATTCTTCCAATCTTTGAGCGTGTACATCCACGAGCGACGCACGTTATCGTATCTCGCGCTCACGATAGATACTTCGTACTCATGGATGCCTTGGGCGTTCTGTTTCCACAACTTCTTGCCATATTTGAACTTCCTTGGACGCTACGGCTTCATGTTAGACCTCACCGCCAACTATAAGTTATAGTTTTTCAATTTTGTACTCACCCTACAACAGGTCTTTGGCCCACATCTGCCCTGCTATCCGGCTTGTCGGGTTGCGATTCATCGGCATCTGGTGCATTGGAATACGGGTTTCGATGATCGCTTTAGGCTATGTTCAGTGCAGGTCAACCAACAGTGGAGGCTTGCTGCTTTGCTAGTGATCTTTCTTATCAGAAACCAATAAAATTAGGCGTTTTCGTTCAATTCGGTCCAATGAATCGTGCAGATTGAGATGCAGGGAAGCTCTTTAGGGTGCCCCGCGTGACCGGGTGATTGGCAATTGGAGATCCACTAGATATGTATTGTCAGCACATTCCCCAAATCCGAAGACCCTGCACCAAGTCAACCAATGTTCGTGGTTCCACCTGCTTGGGACAGATTCTGTGCTCAGTTACGGCAGACTCGACTCCAAAGACGCCTTTGTAAGCACACCATTTCGCTCGTTGCACGATTTTTACTATCGGAAAGTGGAGGCTAAGTGCCTTTCGCCATGAAACACTTTCCGCCATGAAACATCGTCGAACCTTCACGAAGACAGGGTTTAAACATGTAACACGGCCGCCCTTCACCTCTCTGAAAGCATCCATAGCACACGACTGATGCTGATGTCGACCGGTACGGCACACACTATACGTCCATATGGCAATGGCACAGCCTTGTGCCGTGCAAGGCATTTTATTGAAAGGAAGGCGCACGGTGCAGAGAATCTAGATGATAAATGAGCCAACAGCAGATCTGTCTTACATAGTATTCCCATTAGCTTGGCTACTATCTCTACTCTCACTGGTTGTCCGAATATGGACGATAATACCAGATCTCCGCTGACGAAGAGCCCTACGATCAACATACCACCAGAACCTTCCACTGTCAATTACGAAGCCCAGGATAAGAAGGATGACTCTGACTACCAAACTCTCTAATGGACAAGAGGAAATATACGATATTGGAGTTTTACTTTTGTGTCGGGCGGAGAGTATTGACGATTTGGCGGTGAAAGAGGAAGTATTCAAACTCAAGGGCACTTTCGAAACCCGCTTCAATTATTCGCCACAGTAAGACTGGGGGTTATTGGGTCGCATGATATGCCCCTGTTTCAGGGCCTGGTCGGTACCCCTTCAAGGCGTAGAAGACAGGTGTCCAGTACGAGCTATATAGCCACCTGTTTCGCACCTGTCAATAACTCTTCATTCGATTTCGTCTCTTTCAGAGCCGTTATATATTTGTTATTCTACCCACCCATACCTATATATAGCTAGCTGTTAGTTCACTCTAGCTCTATACTATAGACATATATCGAGCGGAAACCGCAGGTGCCGGTCAACACCATAGTAGCTGCTTTCACCGGCGCTCACCATGGACCAACCACCTTGCTCATAGTATACTATGCCGGTCATGGTAAACCTGGCAGCTACTATGGCAGTCTGGTATTGCAAGCGTGAGTTCAACATAGCTATCCTACTGCTTGGTTGCTAATACCCCCAGGCAAACTTCGGAGAATGATCAACGGCAGCGCTTAGACTTGCTCGTGTGGAATAAGACCGAGCAGCTTTTGGCCGATGCTGACGCAGACGTCTTTGAGATCTTTGACTGGTAATCTCCTCTTGCTCGTGGAGGGGACGCTGCTGACATGTCATCGAAGCTGCTACGCAGGGAACTTGTGTCTCACCAGAGGGCAACCCAGGTCAGTCGGATTAGCCAAGTTTTCACGAGTATAATTTCCGGCTGATAAGATCTAGATTGTTCGAATTCCTGGCAGCGACCAAAGAGATGGCCACGACAAAAGTTCCTGGTGAAGACTCGTTTACGTCAGCCCTTATATACGCACTAGAAGCTTTGGTCGAGGAGAAAGGCATGTTCACAACGGTAGAACTCCTCAGAAAGATTAAGTCCCATGCGCCCAACTTCCCTAGTGATCAGATTCCCGTGCTCTCCGATCGAAGAGACGATGCCCAAGCTGGTCGCATCATGCTTCATCCACTCCACAGAAATCTAGAAGATGGCTCACGAACCGCTATATCATCGGAAGAAACTTCCAATCTAGATGCTCTCAAACGCCACACCGTGACTTTGCATTTTGATTTCGCCAACAAACCTCCATCTACAGACATTGAGATCCTCGGCCGCCATTTGAATCAAATTTTTGAGAGGTCCACCCTTGGTGTAAATCGAGTGCGGTGGGGGGGTATGAAACGATCAGCGGCTGCCCGTGCTGTTGGAAGCTTTCAGGCTGGTTTGCAACGATCTCGTCGCGCGAGCATGAAACAGTGGCCGATTTTTGCTACGAGTACGATAGTCCTGAAGACCTTGCAATAGTATACTATGGTGGACACGCATATGAAACGGCACCAAGCTGCGTTGGATATGGCCACTGCTGGATCGTGGTTAGCTGGGAAGAGTTCCGAGCTGCTGACACCATTTTCGTCAGGCCGGGACTCACCGCAGGCGCTGGAGCTTGCAGCAACAGGGAGCGTGGGCGTCAACCCTCCGATTGTCAGCGCCATATCATTCCCAAATTCATCGAGCTCAAATGAGGAGAGCGACGACGGCCACACCTTAGTCCGCAGAGTCCGAAACAAGAAGCGGAAGTTCGATACGGATGGAGAAGAGGCTTCCTGAACGACACATAGACTTTCCGTCGGAAGTCATTGCTTTACCGTTGGCAGCCCAGCAGAGACACTCGTCAAGCTTTCAGCGCCTTCTAGTGTTGACAAAATAGGATTGGCGCCTGGATGTTTATGTAGAAGACAAACAACGCAAGCTGTTTTAGGGTTCCACAGTTCCGATACGCGCTGCAAGAGACGAAAGAACACATTTTCGTAATATTGATGGAATGCTTGTGGAGAGGCGCTCATGTTGCTGTTTGAAGGTTTTCTTTCGTAGGTTTAGCGGGCATCTTGCGGGTCTGTGACGACGTCGTACTCATTCCTTCTCATCTCGAGTCAAGCATTCTCCTCTACATGTGCCGTTGGCTTGATCAGGCCGGTTTTTGTGCAGGACTCATTTGTACATAATTCATTCAAGTTTTCATCGGCGTCCACTTCCCACGGGTAGAATTTTCTCATAATGTAACTTGGTGCAAGGATTCCCGCATGGTCATTTGATCTGTGCTACCAAGGACTAGAAATGAAGTCGACGGATGATGACTTTCAGGACTAATCTCATGACATGGGGCATCACAGTATAGCAACTCCCGACTGGCACCATGATGCACCTGTATCAGGTAGGGTACTTTGAAGTTCAATGGTGTTTCTGAATGTACTTGATGCTTGATCATGTACATAGACAGGAACAGCGGGAGGGGCTGCACGCCCAATTGGACTTCAGTATGGTCAGCAAGTAGCAGAATGCTAGTCTCAAGAGCTTCAGATAGTGCTCTCGTCATTGGAATGAGGGACTTTCTTTCTCCACACCTGATCATAGAGACCAATTGTTGTTCCTTCGATTTAGAGGTGTAGAAATGTAGTACTCTACTAAGAAACTAGTCTCAGTAAGGGCCCGTTTGGCTACCACCTAAAATCCACATTTTCATACATTTCAACTCAACCACACTAATTTCAAAAATTTAGGCTTCAAAACGAGGCTAGTAGATTTTCAATATATGCAGATTATATATACGGTTCCATTTGGTAGTCACATTTCGGCTGATTCAGCTGGACGCTAAAAAGTTGCCAAGACCTTTCTCCGCAGCAAAATTCGTACAGTAGATATCTACCAGTCTTCAACATGGATAGTCTACCACAAGAAGCGATTGCACGTACATATGACCAGAAAGAATAGGAGTACGTTGCGGAGTCTTATTAAAATAACACGAATAGTACTATGCAGCAGTCAAAACAGTAACAATAGCAGCTTCTAACTGTTATCATCGATCATAGCCATGATATATATAACTATTTATAATAATTATGGCCTTGGATCCAGCGATATAGTCCACCTATAGCGTACATTTTGGATGAAAACTTGCCCTACCCCAAGTTTTCAGAAATGT